CATTTCTTCATAAACAACCCCATTATCCTTCTGTTTTAATAACTTAAATCCAAGACCATCTCCCGCCGCCCAATAATATATACATATATAGATTTACAAACGTACTATATACATGTATAATATTTCCCTCTTATCTATTAACTGTCATAAAAGATGATTGTTCTAAGCCAGTGCAGCAACAGTGCATGAGGTATGGCTCTTGCAGAGAAGCCATTTCCTGTCCAGTCCTACCGGATTGGCAAGGCAAAGCTCTATTGTTCCTGTACATTCGTTCCAAAAATCTGATCCCATGACCCTAGGAATGCCCCACAGTTAGCCTGGTGACACCAAGGGTGGGTCAGTTCTTGGCTGCTCTCAGCTTCCTGCGGAAGTAGTCGGGTGCAGCATCATACAGCCAATCTGCATCCACTACACACAGGTCCCTCATGTAGCACTTGTTGGTGTGAAGCAGCTCGTTGTACGTTACGCAGGCTGGCTTGCAGTGGAAGAGGACCGAGGAGGGATGGATTGCCACCAGCTGGTGGGAGTCTACGGTAGCATAGGTGCCATCCGGCTGCAACTCTGCAGTGTTCATGAAGAGGCTGTGAGCCAGGCAGCGGCGGATATTCCCCGTGTCCGATCGGGAGGACTCAATCGGTAACGATAGCTGGTTAGTAACGAGAGAGAAAGAGAGAGATGGCAATCCCTTGTGTTTGGTGCCCTGCAGCTCAAGATCAGACACCCTATGGTGTCTCATAAAACAAGCCTGGAAAAGTCTCACAATCACCACACGGTGGGAGTGAGACTGGAATCAGGGCTTCTAGCGCAACAACAAAGCCCACATCACCTATCGCTTTCTGGCATCCCTTCCAATAACTGTGGGTGCACATGTTTGAAAAGCAAATATGGTACGACCAAAAGCTCAAAAGGAATGGGAATTCCGATTCAAGCTTGGACAGCTGCCATTATTATGAGTTTGCGGGATGCTTGCCCAGAGACGGGTCCAAGCTGCCCGTTAGAGGAGTTAGTTTCAGTCCAACCATATTCAAACCAGGAACTGAAGGCACAGTGTTTCCCTCTGCTAGGATCTGGTACAGGGAAGCCATTCGGGGGTAGAGGGGAGGTAAAACAATAACAAGACAGAAGAATTTTACAGCAACTAGTTACCTTTAGGCAAATGTCCCTGAGCTGAGCTCTGACGTCCGACACCAGCATCATGTTCCTGTTGTTCACAAAGTTCTCTCTGCACCATTCCTGCAGCAGAGCAAGTGGAAGCCAGAACAATTCACTTCTTTATCAAGCATGTTAGGGACATTGTCTTTGGATCAGATGTAAACCAGAGTCCCTAAATCACATACCCATTCAACAGAGAGCTGCTACCCTGCTGGCCAGATTCGCAATATGGATAGTTATACTCAGTCTACCTAAATTCCCTCCTACAGTTCCAATTAGACACAGTATTCCTCATCCACAGTCCTAAACTGTTTTGTGGGTTTGCCATGTGCCATGAAACAGCTTCTGCGCTTCCTCCCCAGAGATGGTGAAAGCAATTCCTTGAAGCATCAAGTTTGTAAATCACACTGGGGGCCCTGAGGAGGAGAAACACGCTAGGAAGCCCAGGATGCGACTCTACATATTTAGAAATCAGACTGGAGAGTTTGATTTGTGGATTAAATCCAAATCTCATCTACAAAACTTGCAGAAAGGCCCAATCTCTTTGTAAGGAGTTCTGAAATGATGAAGAGCATTGCCAGGCATTTTCTGGTGGTCAGCTGAAACACAATCCTACCCATCTGGAACAATACAAGGAGGAATGATGACCTTGAGGTTAAGGTGCTCACCTGGACCTCGAAAGATGGGTTCGGTTCCCAGGTCTGCTGCAGAGTTCCTGTGTGACCTTCATTAAGTCACTTATTCAGCCTGTAAAATGAGGTTAGCCCTTTCCCATCTCACAGAAGCATAGTGAGGATAAATATATTGATTAGGAGGCACTCAGATGCAAAGCGAAGTGCAGGTACACGGAGAGAGGTCAGATCCCCAGCGGACTAGTTATTGTACCATCTCCAGAGGCTCCATCCCCACCTACCTTATTACCGCAGACATTTTTAAAGGCTCTGTAGACGTTGAGCAGGGTGAGGTGATCCCCCTCGCTGGAAATGAACTTCTTCCGGACAGACTGCACTTCATCCCGCCGGGATGGGGGGTTGTAGAGGATGCTGTCCACCGAGAGCAGGGATACGATGGTCAGGATCTCCTCTGTGCAGTGGAACTTGGGGGACATGAGGATAGTCTGCAAAGCACAGAGCAAGAGCTGCTTTCATGGGTTTCACCAGCTAGAAAGTTGGCAGATTTCGACAGCACAGTAATCTTGGTGGGTAATGTAAACTTTAAAAGATACCTTCTCTGTGTTAAACTAACTCCTGGCTCAATAGGATCAGATATAAAAGAGAGGGGAACTCTGATTTATTCTTAAAATCATAGAAGACAGAGGGAAGAGATGTACTAGGGGACATAGCTTGTCCATCCTCATGCCAATGCAGTATCACGGAGGCACTGGTAATAATAACTATCATTAAGGATTATTCTTTTAAGTTGTCCTCATTTGAATGAGCTAAACTACTCACAAACCTTGAATTACACACTTTCACTATTTAGGCACACAGATATACACATACACGCACACGATTGGGGAGAGCTGATCATTTTAAGGAAATTTCAACCTAACACCGCTCATTCATATGAAAATTGTAAGTAAGACAAAGTCAGCTCTTTTGGAAACTTTGGTTTCAACTCTAACTTGCCTCATTAAAATCAACTAATGTGCTAGAGGAAAGGAGGGGAGCAAATGTCCTACCTATCAACAAGAGGCACTAAAGGTGAATTCCAAACCAGTAAGCCTCACTTCAGTACCAGAGGAAATGGCTGAAGTAAATAGGATTATAAAGCACCCGTTAGATGAGCAGGATATGACAGGACAAACCAGTACAGTTTCTGTAAAGGAAAACTGTGCCTCTCTAATCTACTAGGATTTTCAGCGCATGCGAGGCTACAGGTACTCAGGGCCAAGTTCTACATCTACTGCATAGCAGCAATGCTCACGGATATTAATAGGAGCTGCTGGTAAGCAGAAACTGCAGAATCAGTGCCCAATCAGGCACTCATTCTCTGCACGTTACTCCTGAGGGCATTCTGCGCCAAAAAAATTAAAATTCTGAAAATTGTATTTGTCAAATAAATGTGGAGGCCCCAGCATGGCATTGGGAAGCAGAGGCCACTGGCTGCACAGAGGTGGGAGATCACTGTACAGCTCTCCCCAAGGACATAGACTCAGCAGTGAGGCTGCACCCGACCCTGACACAGTGCAAGGACTGGGCCTGCCCCAGAAACACTCCAGTGCCCTGCCCCTCTGCACCAGGTGTGGGCAGGCAGTCTCAGCAAAGCAGGATCCAAATGTGGAGGGGCTTAGTGTGGGGGGTCCAGGGCTCTGTGTGGGGCAATCTGGGTGTGGGTGGCTCAGTGGGGGATCAGAGTGTGGGGGGGGATCTTGATGCACAGGGACTTGTTGTGGGGTTCTGGGTGCAACAGTAATGGGACTCTGCAGGGCGGTCCAGGTGAAGGTGGTTGGGCTTTGCAGGGGGTCCAGATGCTGGGGGAGTCCAGATGCTGGGGGAGTGGGGCTCAGTGGGGTTGGGATCCAGGTGCAGCTGGTTGGGGCTCGGTAGGGTGGGGGTCAGGGTATGGGTGGCTTGTTGGGGTGATCCAGGTGCAGGGGGAGTGTGGCTCATCATGGGGGTTCTGGGTGGGGGGGGTGAGGCTCAGCAGGAGGGTCTGGGTATGAGGGGGTCTGGATGCCCTGCGGTTGGGGGAAGGGGGGAGCAGCTCCCTGAACAGGAACCCCTCCCCCTGCAGCTGAGGAGCGCTGGGTGTAAGAAGCGCAGGGAGTTTGCAGAGCTTCTTACAGCCAGGGGAGAAATATGAGGGTGGGTCTGACACGGCTCTGGATGCCATGCATGGGAAGAGGAAGTCCCGTCCTCCCTAGCCCAGCCGGGACTAGCAGCTGAGCCCGGCACAGGGTAGGAGCCACCAGCCAGGTCTTCCTCAGTCCCTCCCCCTGCCCCACAGTGATTTACCTCTCTGCTGGCTGCCTTGGGCACCTGAAGCATGCTGCTGGGGAGGGTTGCATGACCGTTCTTGTGGCTTCCCTTTGCTTCCCCGTCAGAAAGTCATTTTTCTGCGGGGAAGCAAAGAAATCTGTGGGGGACATAAAGTCTGCGCATGTGCAGTGGCGCAGAACTCCCCCAGGAGTAACATGTGTATTGTTAGGAATGTATCATGGTAACAGCACCTGTATGGAAGGTACCTTGTCATTCTACCTTATGTGGAAATCTTACATGGAATCAGAAGGTAAATGTGGGAAATTTTGTCAAGACAAATCTCTTAACTCATTATCAAATCAAAAGGAAGTCGTTTAAGGAGCTTGAGAATAAGAGACTGATAACTATGGAAAAATAAATCCAGATAAAAATAAAGAGCTTATTGCCTATCATTTGTACTTTAGAAAATTTGGGTTCCAGAGGAAATGCTGCCATCTTCCTTCCCAGTGGGGTCAGAGTAACCTGATCCTCCTTCCGGTCCACAGCCCCCAGCAGTTCCAGTTGCTCAATGGCTGCCTGAATGGCATCTATCAAGACAGAATGGTACAGCCAGTTGGCTTCATTGTTGGCAATATCAGCAGAGGTTAGGAGGACTCCCCCTGGCACCATGAGAGGCAGTGTCTCCAGATCAGAGTGAAAGACAACGACATGGCACGGCTGTGCCTATTATGATTAAACTTCTCAAGCCTCCAGGGCTGTCCACCAGACACGTTCCACTGACACAACACTCACAAATTATATTTTAAATAGAAGCAAAGGTCAGGTTGCCAGGCCAAGCCTTTGGCAGCAGCCCTGTCAGGACCCCTGCAGGTTGCTCTCCTTCTCTAGAAGCTTCCCACCAAGATTTCTTCAGATTCTTTGCACCTCCAGCCTACTTTTATCCCATGCTGCTCCTCACTCTGTTGAGCAGTTGTATTCCCCAGCTCCTGCCACCAATGGGCCTGCTTTCACAACGCTGACCACAGTCAGTGAGCACTTAAGGGACTCCAGTCCACCCAGATGGCAGAAGATTTCGATGAGTTCACTTGTCAGCTAGACCCATCGGGAGAGGTGGCAACAGTCCAGGAAGTGTTACGCTCCTTATGATACAGGCTCCCCCCGCTCTCCATTATCAGTTCAGCGAAAACATTTATTTTCAGATAAATTCTCAGTGACCTATTACCCACTCCTTCCAACGCTGCCTTCACACCCACTTACCTGGGGATGGCTTGGACATAAAGTCAAAGGTGAGAACGTTGGGAATTCTCAGAGCCAGGAGCTGTAGCATCACACTGGCCAGGTTACACCTGCAAAGGGAAAGAAAAAATAAGAACAACCTCAACCACCTGCCTCTGTTGAGGCAAGTCAGGCAGACCTGCCCGACTGGCACCTCTGAAATCCTGCACGCTGAGGAAGACCAGCCCAAGAGTGGCCTCCACGCTCCCCTGGCTTCAGCACTCCTGCAGAGTGGCTACTTCTTCCAGCAGCACCTCCAGTCACACAGCAGAGGGGAGGAAAGAGCAGCAACAGTAGCAGAGGGAGCCTTTATACACTCGTTTTTGTCAGGAATGGGGGAGAAGCGTAATAAGGGAAAGGAGTAGAATACAAAGGGCGGAGTTCAAAGGGTAACAACCAAGGTGACACTGGAAGTTGGAATCTCCCCAGAACAGCTGATGGTATTTGGCACAGACCTTGTTGGATTCGGAGCCCCCACCCTGAGGGCTGAGCAAGGATACAATGGGTAAACCAGCCACTTCAGCTATCCCTTGTAACCTCATCAGCCTGCTGCCAGTTATGTCACATGAGATGGGACAGTACAAGCTTAAAAGGGATGGGGAGAAAAAGCTACAAGTCCGAACTGATGGAGGAGGAGCAATAAAATTCCCTGTTCTTCTTGTTTCTGACACCTTTCTCCTGACAATGGGGCTGCTGGTGGAGATGGAGCCAAAACCTGAGCGCTGACAGCTCCAGGCGCCCCAATCACAAAACACACCCAAGCTGTGAAAACAGAATTAACCACAACAGGAAGCCAGCAGAGACACCGTTCTGTCTCCAGCTCTGAATGCCCTTCCTCAGCCCATACCCATTCACAGCGCTCACAGGCCTCCCTTCAGAGTTGCAGATTCTGGCTACGCGGCAGGTCTGGCTAAGGGAAGGCAAGGCTGTGTGTTCGGGGAAGTGGATTCTGTTCTCACCTCTGTATCTCAGGTATTGTCATTTTATCAAACTTCTCGAACTCATCCTCTGTGTAGAGCCGGTAACAGATTCCACTGTCCTCTCGTCCCGCTCGCCCTGTACGCTGCCATGCCTGGGCCTTTGACACCCGCTGCACAGCCAACACTTCCAGGCCACTCTCTGGGAAAGGAAAAAGAGTCCACATTAGTGAATATTCACATATGCGGGGCTTTGGAAACGCAGCTAGTGCAAATTCACACAGTGGCTGAGCACTGATCCTAGGGGAAGACAGAGCACCTCCTACTGAAACAACACCACTTAAAGGTAGTCTCCCATCCAAACACTAACCAGGCCTATTCTTGCTTAGCATACAAGACCTGAAGACAGCTACATGGTGCTGCATCCACTTGGTGGCATTTCACAGCTCCAGGGGTATTTTTACACTGCACGTAGACACCCACGGCTGGCCCATACCAACTGACTCGGGCTAAGAGGCTATTTAGGGTGTACATGTTCTGGCTCAGGCTGCAGCGTGAACTCTGGGACCCTTCCACCTTGCTCAGACATCTACACTGCAATAAACAGCCCCGCAGCCTAGTCAGCTGGCAGGAGCCAGCCACAGGTTTTTAATTGTAGTGTAGACATACCCCAGGAGGCCCGGTAGAATTCCACACTTAGCTGACTCTCCCCACAAATGGACAGCCCTGTATACACCCTGTCCCAGGATCAGATGAGCACTGGGGAAGAAAGCACATTCAGTTGACAGGATGAACACCACACAAAAAACCCGCCTGAAATACGACGTGTTAAAGACTGGGGCAGGGGGGGTGTTTTAAATCAGCTTCTATCAGGGTTTAGTGCCTCAACGTACGTATCAAGAATTAAAAATTATTTCCATATCACTCATCTCAACTCCTCACCAGGGCTGAACTTCTTTGCTTTAACCATGCCTGTGTCCACAACGTATTTTATTCCCGCAATGGTGATGGAGGTTTCCGCAATGTTGGTTGAAAGGATCACTTTGCGATAGCCCTAGGAGGAAGAGCAAACAAAAGAATACCACCTAGCTCTTATCTAATACTTTGCAGCAATACAACTCAAAGAGCTTTACAAAGGAGGTCAGTATCATTATCCCCATTTGGCAGATGGGGAAACTGAGGCAGTGGTGACTTTGCCCAAGGTCACCCAGCAGGCCAGCGGCAGAGCCAGGAATAGAACTCAGGCTCTCCCAAGTGCCAGTCCAGGGTTGTATCCAGTAGGCCACACTTGCAGGAGTCCCAGCTCCCACTTTCCCACCTCAGAGTCCCAAGATTCACACATCCTTATTGGTGTACTTTGACTTGGTTACACTTTAGAGTATGGTGTCAGTGTGACCAGTGTGTATGGCTACATTAAAACTCTAGCTACTGGGCAGATTTCTAAAAGAAAGGAACTTTGCAATCAAAAACAATTAGTCAAATCAAATACAAGACCCCCAAAGGGCTGTTTGCAGTGTAGCCTTTACATCTTTTTAGTTTTGCTTCTGGTGAAAGGCATGAGATTAGGATCCCTGAAGACCTGAGTTCCAATTTATCCACTGACTAGGAACAACACAGGCTGTAGCAATGTAAGTTCCTCTGTGCACATACACACAGCGCTGCCAAGTCTGCTACACCCTGGAGGTTAGTCTTCTTGGAATTTCAGTACGACCTGGAAACTGCCCAGTGAGGCTGGCCATCTGGAATGGTGCTTTCTGTGACGAGGCTCTTTGTCCACAAGGATCCTTATAGAACACGTTCCAAAGGCTCTGCATCTCATTACCAAGCCCTTGGGCCCTCATTCCACTACCTTTTCTGTATCCAGGGCAATTATTCCCATATTGGGGCTAATGTTGAGGAGAGACTTATAGGGGTGACACCCCACATATCGCACTGAAAACATGTACCCTCCTGTCTCCAGGCAGTAGTCAGCCAGGGTCATAAATGAGGATTGCTTTTAACCCACGAGAAGTACAGCCCTTCCTGTGCAGGGAAATGGACCGTGATGTGAATGCATCAGCTCCCCCAGGTGTCCCCCAGCCTGGCTTACCTTGGGTGCAGCCTGAAAGACTCGGAGCTGCTGTGTGTATGGCAGTGAAGCATAGAGGGGCATCACCACCATCTGGGGGCAGCCATCGGGAAGGTGCTTGGCGATGTCTCGGCAGGTTTTGGTCATCGCTTCGATCTCTTCCTGACCCGTTAGAAACACCAGGATGTCCTGAGAAGAAGGTGCTTCCTTGGGGGTTGGGGAATTAGAAACGAGTGTAAGCTAGTGGGGGGAAGAAGACTCACGCAGAAATAAAACAGCAGTTATCAGTGGCAGCAAATCTTCTGAGCTCTCCTACCACCAGCAGAATAGATGGAGCAGCTGGGGAGCAAAGCTGAATGGGAGCATACGGAGTGAGGTGCTGCTCCCACTGGATTCACTGAGACGGAAGAGGGCTCAGCACTTTGTAGGACCACCAAGAAGGAGAAAAAAAAAACTATAGAGAAACGGATGGTTCTGCTTTATTCAACAACTTTCCAGTGCACCTGAACGAACAAGCTAGTCTGCTTTCCAGTGGCAGTACAGCTGGCCAGTAATCACATGAAAACCTGAAGAAGAATAGTTAGGAAAGCTAGGCTGCATACTTTGCTTAGCAGTCTCCTTTCACCTCCAGACTAGCGTTCAATTCCTACAACCACAGCAACAATAACTATTTTAACAGCGGCAGATGCAGGATATTAATGGTTTATTTAACAGCTTTCCGCCAGTCACACCCCTTAAAAGCCACTGTATACATACAGCTCCGAAAGCACCGTGTCACTGTATGCTCCAATGCAGAGGAGACGCGCTGGATATATTTCCAAAGACGAGAACCGCAGGCACCTCTTTCAAAAACTCAAGACTAACCATCTGGCAGTTTCTCGTTGAAACACTTAGTGCTAGTCATAAAATATTGATGAGCTTTTAATTCATTAGATTTCCATTTTCTCTATAGTTTCCCTTAACAACTACATCAGGGAGGCGATCTTAATGATGATCGAAGATTGGCATTTTTTCATTTTGGTGCTCTTTGTGGATTCCACAATTCTGTAAGTAATGGGTGCAAATAAATTATTCCCTGGAGTGCAATATTTTCCAATATTTCCTCATCTAACTCAGTCACACCATCAGCATCATCTACCCGAGAAGTAGATTTTAAAAGAATATAGGGCCAGCTGGCCCACACTGAAGTATGAAAGCTAAAGATGAGAATACAACAGCATACAGAACAATCTCCGAGTTCTACTAACGATACAAGCTGCAATTTCAGGCCATGGGATATCTGAGATCATGAATCTAGCCAAAGTCTCACATTAATATAGCTCATTCAGACTTCAGGGGTGACACGAAAAGAATCCTCAATGCTTGTAACTATCACTTGGATCTGAACAGACAGAATGATAACAGATGAAATATCCAACTGCAGCATCACAGGAGCAATGCTTGCTCCCAAAACGCCCATGGTACCTGATGGATTTGGAAGACCGACACCAGTGCTGCTTGGAGGTAATCACTCTGAGGCTGTTTGGTGTAAAAGATCTGGATTGGATGTTGCCGACCTTCTAGATAGAGAACTGGGGCTCCGTTGAAGTACTGAGAGAACTGGTCTACGTCCATAGTAGCTGACATGATCACCACCTACAAAATGGGAGCAAGGCAGGTGCTATCAATGGGACTCAAGCGTGAGACATTTGCCAACAGGCCTACAAAACCCAGCCTCCTTAGACTGCCAGGATGAACACCCAAACCAGCAAAAGGTAAGAAAGGCATTTAGTGCAGAAGAGAGCTACATTTTTTTCTTCCGGGCCCTCAAATCTACAGCCATCCACTCCCACTGTGTGACACCCCAGCACGTGTTATACATATATCACACCATACGCTACAAAAGGAGTGGAGAAGCGAGCTTAAAGGGTTCCAGACATTTACTAAAAACAGCTACGCCTGGTTAGAACATTCAGACTTAAGAGATGGCTTTCAAGAAAGGGAATGTGTTCAAGCTAGAAAAGTCAAACATGCCGAGGACCCGCCCTTAGGGTGGTTCTTCATAACACAGTTAGTTTGTGTGTTACAACAAACTCAACTCCTGTCCACACACAAAAAAAATCTCTAGCTCGCATTAAGTGGTGCTTTACATTAGCTGGTGGGGATGGGTTGAAGCTTGAGTGCTGTTGAAGCTGCAGCTAGTAATGCAGCGTGGATGCAAAAGCTGGAATTAGAACACATCAGCGGCGAATCCAATCACTCTGCTGCTAACCAAACCACTCTGCGTCACTCCAGTGTTCCTCTGAAGTGACTGGAACTAGGCTCTCTCTAGTGCACTAACTGGAGTGTATCTAACTCAAGCTAACCATTGCAGTGCAGACCTGCCCTTACAGGTGTGGAAGAACCCCCACTCTCCATCAGCATAGTGCATTCTGCTTGGGGGCCAGGTGGGGAATCTGCACTCACTTTGAGTGGGAATTTGCCCAAATCCTTCCGTTTCTTGAGCGCCGCTTTCACCACCCCAAAGAGCACGTCTGTGTGTATTGTCCTCTCGTGAGCTTCGTCTAGAATGATGACACTGTATTTGCGCAGCAGGGGATCGCCAATGGCTTCGCGGAGAAGCATCCCATCCGTTAGGAACTTGATTCGCGTCTCTTCGGAGGTGAAATCTTCAAAGCGCACCGTGTAGCCGACCTAAGGAAACAGTCATGCAGGACAAGGCACAGACACCAAATCACATACATTTATAGCCGCTGTGATTCACACTAAAGGATCCCAAAGCATCCAGACTATCCTTACAGCCATCCCGTCACCCATATCCAGTTAGAACCGCGAGTGCAATTTAAGGAGGCTGCAAGTATTTTCATTCTGTAGGTCACAAGCCCCAAGATTCTAACATACCCCAAAGAGAGCTGTCAAAATCTTAGCATAATCACTATTTTCTGGCACTGACAGAGGAAGTTCACCCCTAAGAAAACCTGAAGAATTCACTGTAAAATATAATAAACACAGAAGATATAACCCCCTTTCCCAGAAGCCAGTGAACTGGATCACAATTTGTTAGCATTCATACATACAAGACATTAAAGTAGAGTGAAGGTCATACACTGCCCACCGTTTACATGCACAACTCCCATCAACATCAACTCCAGTTTCACCATGGATTAAGTGCTGGATGTGGCCATTTGTACATATCACAGGTGTAATGAGCCTAACCCAAACTAAAACCAGTTCCATGGGACACAGCAGGTGCAGAGGCTCTGACAGATGCCACGCAGAATGATTTTTCTGTCCCGGAACACCTCATCCAATGGGCTACGTGTGGATTATTATAAACGGCTACTCTCAAATTAACAGTGAATTAGCAGTTTGGAGCCCTCATACCCAAAGGCAGGAGGGCATATTGTAGAGGTAACTAGTCCTAGGAAGGGTAAAGGCCGCCAGGTTTGTGCAGGGCTTCTCTGTCACCAGTGCAAAAAGCAAAGGGTCACATGCTCCCTAGCAAGATGGGTCGTAACTGGAAAAAGGCAGCACGAGGAGCAGCAACAAAAGCCAAGCTGTGCTTTAAAACAAAGTTGTGGAGAGGGTAGGAGGAGAGAGGAATCATCCATTTAGGTGCAGACTATGATCACTTCATTGTGAACTTGAAACACACCACTTAATTTTTAAAATACCGAACAAGGGGATACACTCCAACCCTAAGTGCATCCTATGAGAGAAACCAAAAGGATTTGATCAGGGCTAAAAAGCCACCCAAAACCCCAACATTTGGCCCTCAGAGTACTGAAAAGGCCGTGAGTACACTTCTGTTCATGTTTAAACATTCAGTAAACACAGACACCACCACCACCACCCTTGCTGGAAGCCGCTGTCTATTCCTTAAACACTTTTATATATTTTTTTCCCATTCTCCCTAAACCACACATAGCAACTGCAGCAAGTTCCCAAGAGTCACAGCTCTGCTTGCCACCCAAGCATGCCCTAGCTTGTTGCAATCATCAATAATCAGTGCTGGAACAGGGGGATAGGACAAGCTGATTTTTTACTCATTAGCCAGCATTTTTTTAAATAAAAGCAACATAGCTGGACCCACATGGCGAGAGAAAAGCCAAGCGGGGCTCAGCCACTGGGCTGGATGGAAGAGACAGTGTTTTTATTCTTGTATACTATTAAACGTAGACAGCACTTTATCCCTTGTGGTTCTAGGATCCATACAACTGCTCTGACCACCTGCTGTCCTCACCTACCCAACACCACTGTGCATCTCAACCGCTTTATTTGAGGTCACCTCACATACCAGTTTTCCCAGCTCTGTTTTCTTCTCATCCGAGACTCTAGTAGCTAAGGATATAGCAGCTACTCTACGAGGCTGGGTCACCGCAATGATGCCTTGGCGGCCGATTCCTGCTTCATAGAGGTACTGTGGGATCTGAGTCGTCTTCCCTGAGCCTGTTTCCCCTATACAGCAACAAATGAACAAACTGCTGTTATTTCTGTAGCATCTCTAATGAGAGGCTCTCAAGCCATTTTGCAAACATTTGTTAATTAAGTCTCATCCCTCCGAGAGACAGGTGTTGTTCCCATTTTGCCAATGGGAAAGCTGAGGAAGAAAGAATTAGGGTGATTTAGCCTATGGGAACAGAACCCAAGTACCCCAGCTCTAACCACTAGATACACCACTTCACTTGATAACGCTCATCTCATTCCCCATGGTTGGTCCCTGGTACAGAATTTGAAAGGCAAACTGCAAGTAAATAGAAGCCGAGTTCTGTACACTACAGAAGCGCTCCCAAGAACATTCAGCACAGCACAACGCCTACAATTCTTCCTTTTTAGGTTCCCCCAGCATCACAGCAACCTACCGTACTCAGACCCCTGGATGGATCGCACCTGCCTAGGAAACCCCTGCTGGAGCATGGAGTTGGCTCGTGAGGCTCAGATAAGTGGTTTATTTTCAGTATATATGGCACTAGTGTGGGGCCTGGGTTTCAAAGCTTTTGAAGTTATGCTCCCATAAAATCCTGGGAGCAAGAGACAGATGAGACCCATTCAGTCATCCAGTCTGCCTCCCTGCTACTGCAGGACTGGCTCCTACACTAGGCTTCTTAGTGTTTTGTGCAGTTTAGTCTTAAAAGTTCCAGACAACAGAGCTTCCACAATTTGCCCTGGGTGACTATTCGCAGCTGGAACTGTCAGTTTTCTCTGATATTCAGCCTAGGAATTGCCTGTCTTAATTTTATCCCCCTATTTCTAGGTATATGTCCACCTACCACACCAAATGATTCCTCTCCATTGGCTTATGCCCCCACTTAATCATTGCTGGACAAGTACTTCTGACGTAGATGGATTTTTGTTTGGCTTGCAATTCATCTTTAGCAAACCAGAACACTGGGCTGAGAAACAGACACACAGACAGGAGCTGTTCTTTCAGCACCACACAGAGGTCTACCCAAAAAGCGCCATTCCATTATCCCACCCATGCTCCCAATTCTGCCATTACACAGTCAGCTGTAATAAAAGTGGCAACCATCGCTTACTACATAGGGCACTATCAGTCTTATGGACCAGTAACATAGGACAGTGATAAAAATAGGGCTTTGTACTAGCACTGAGTTACTGGATCTGCTTGGACCTATTACAGCACTGACGACAAAATCCTTTCATTGCTTGGGACAGATACAAGTTGGAACCAGGCACAACTCTTCAGAGAACATGAATTTGGAACTATTTCAAGTCTCAAGAGCAACAAAGAGCAGGAAACTGACATTAATGCCAATTTCATTCCCCTTCAATTTTACTGGTTCTTATGAGTCTGTTTTTAGTACCTTTAGTGGGAGAAAAATACTTTTAAATTCAAACAAAGAATAATAAGGCAATTTGTAGCGCTTCAGCTTTCTCGTGGCCAACAACAGGGATTCCTCCTCACAAAGGTCTCTGAACATGTTAGAGGTGCATGGAAAGGGGGTCGGGGGCTGTATTCTTCTTGACTCTTGTAAAACACTCACAGTAGAGAACAAGACACCTTTCACTAGAACCAAGTAGCTTCCAATACACCAGATCCTGAGCCAAATATATCCCTTCTTTAGGTAGTGGAACAAACTGGAAGAGACACCCCCAGCTCTGCAACCTCCTCGCCTATTAGGTCTTGTCCGCTGTTGAGTCTGGTATGGTTGTGACCAGTACACAGTGCTAGCTTGTGCTGTACCCCTATGTTCACCCCTTTTACAAGACTATGATAAATTTCATATAAAAGTATGCCTTGTGAGGTATCATTTGAAAACTCATAATTTACTGATCAGTATTATCCTGATAAAATGTGTGTGGCAACATTGTATGTAAAGATACAAGATTCTAATGTACGATGTTACTGGGGCTTTGCCTACACTGCCAATTGTAGTTCGCAGGTGCTTAAAAAAGCCTCCCCTCCACCCCGAAAGACAAAAGTTTTGCAGCAGCAAGTGGCAGTGTAAACGGCTCATTGTCAGCAGGAGCGCTCTCCTGTCCACAACGTAAACGCCACTCGTAGGGGGTGGAAGTATTTTGTCGGCAAAAGTGCCGACAAACAGCGTTTACACTGCCCGACTTTTAGCGACACGGCTGTATCGCTAAAAGCTGTGTAGTGTAGATAAAGCCTAAGAGAGATTCAACACCTGGAGAGCAGTCCACAAACGAGTTCTCCAGAGACAAAGGACTAGCCAACACCTCAGCCAGGTGTCAACAAGTTCACATAGGCCATCACCTGGTTAAGTGGTCATTCTTTGGCATGAAAGAGGGCGTGGGGAAAAAAAATCTACATCTTGACACAAACATCTTAGAAAGTCTGTGTGGATGGAAAGAAACCCTGTCTCCTGAATCTTAGCTGGAGATGACTCACAAAGCAGAGAAGAAACTACAAGAAAGTAGACTAGATGTCCCATATTCTCTCTTCCTTTCTCTCTATCTATCCACATCACCTCAAGAACAAAGAAAGAAACACTGGACTTGGGGAGAGATCCTGATTGAAAGGAATTCAGCCAATAAGACCGTGGTGAGAGAGACCTTTGTTTTGAATTCACTTAACTTATTAAATTAGGTATTAGTTGTGTTTTACTTTTACTTTTTTTTTCTTGTAACCAATTCTGACATTTAGCCTTCTGTAGTTAATAAACTTGTTTTACTGTTTTATCTAAACTAGTGTGTTTGGATGGAAGTGTTTGGGAAACTCCATTTGAGATAACAGAATCTGTGCATATAATTGTCTATTAATAAAATGACGGACTATGTATGAGCTTGTATCATCTGGTGAGACAGGAGAGTAGATTGTGTCTATGCTGTGTACATTTTTGTGATGATTTTGCAAGGACATCTATCTAAGATGACAGAACCACCAAAACAGATTTTTAAAAACACATTTTCAAATATTTACTACTTGCCCCTGACATAAGTAGGACATTCTGATTATTATTTGTATTGCAGTAGCATCTAGGAGCCCCAGTCTTTGTCCAGGACCCTGCTGTGCTAGGCACTGTACAAACACCCACTGAACAGAGATGGTCCTTGCCCCAAAGAGCTTCCAGCTAACTAATGATTTCCACCTCCTGCCCCTTTCCCAAGATACTCACGGAGGAGGATGGTGTCACTTCAGTCAAGTCACCATTAGATCTTTTTTGTTCAGCCATGCTACTGCCAGCAGTATTACTATCCTTATGAAGGCTAGTTGACATGAAAAGCCCACATCCACTAACTATGTAATTAGTGGCCATAAAGAATACGATGCCCCGCTGTCAGAGAAAACTCCTATACAACATAATTCTTCATGAAGAGCAGTGACTAGAAATGCACATATTGAGGGGCTCGCATCATGTGTATTTTGCACTAAAACCACATTTCCGCAGAGGTACGTCTTCTATTTTCTTTTTCATGGTTACACTTTGACACATGCAACAGGGCTCAGAAGTCAGCAGGGTGAGGGCAATGTGGGAGCAGAGGAAAGGAAGAAGGAATCAGAAGAATGGTAAGAAGTTCAGAAGTAACATTATTGTGTGATACAATTGTGATTCCTAGACAGATGGGAAGCAGAAAACCAAATGTAAGCCGCCCAGCTGCAGACTGGGGCAGAGGGAGGAACTATTTACTGCACTCTTCAGCTGCAGAACCTTCAAGTGGCATATTGTAGGACATATTTAGCACGTGATAATGCAAACCAAACAACTATAAAAGGGAAATGAGAAAAGTACTATGCATTCCTTGACTAGAAAATTATTGTGGTCAACATTTTTTTGAAGTGTTCGCTGATTGCATGTGTGAAATTTGAGGCACTTCATGCCTAATTTTAACAAATGCTGAGCCCCTACGTTTCCAGCTGGAGTCAACGGGATCTGCGATTCTTCAGCTCCTAAAAGTCACACATAAGGTGTCTCAAGCTGGGCTCATAAAAACAGAGGAATCATTAGTGAACACTTCTGAAAATTCAACTAAGAAGGTGTTTTTACCTAGGGAACAGAGGGTTTTTCCGGTTTTGGATTTTTTTTGGCCGGAGGAGAGAAGGAAGGAACTATAGGATCATAGAAATGCAGGTCTGGAAGGAACCTCATGAGGCCACCTACGTCAGTTCTCTGCACTGAGGTAGGATTAAGTATTATCTACCATCCTGACAGTCGTTTGTTTAACCCGTTCTTAAAAACCTCCAATGACAGATTCCACAACTTCCCTAGGTAATTTGTTCCAGTGTTTAACTACCTTTACAGTTACAAAGTTTTTCCTAATGTTTAATTAAAGATCTACCTGGATGCAATTTAAACCTATCACTTCTTGTCCAGTCCTCAGTGGTTAAGGAGAACAATTAATTACCCTTCTCTATATAACAACCCTTTACATACTTAAAGGCTTATCAGGTCCCCTCTCAGTCTTCTCTTCCCCAGACTAAACAAACCCAATTTTTTCAATCTTTCCTCATAAGTCATGTTTTCTAGACCTTTAATAATTTTTGTTGCTCCCCTCTGGACTTTCTCCAGTTTGTCTGTATCTTTCCCTAAGTATGGTGCCCAGAACTGGACACACTACTCCAGTTGAGGCCTTATCAGTGCAGAGTAGAGAAGAACTGCTTCTCATCAACATTCCTGCTAATACATCCCAGAATGAAGTTTGCTTTTTTTTTTTGGCAACAGTATTACATTGTTGATTCATATTTAGTTTGTGATCCACTATTGCTCCCACATCCTTTTTCTGCAGTATTGCTTCCCAGGCAGTCATTTCCCATTATGTATTTGTGCAGTTGATTATTCCTAAGTGTAGTACTTTGCATTTCTCTTTATTGAAATTTCTTCCTATTTATTTAGACTATTTCCCCCGTTTGTCGACATCATTTTGAATTCTAATCTTGTGGTCCAAAGCACTTGCAACCCTTTCCAGCTTGGTATTGCCCGCAAACTTTGTAAGTGTCATCTCTATGCCACTATCCAAATCATTTATGAAGATACTGAATAGAACCAGACCTAGGACAGATCCCTGTCCACCCAATATGCCCTTCCAGCTTGACTGTGAACCATTAGGGGTGGCCAGCCTGAGGAGGAACCAGAATTTACCAATGTACATTGCCAAAGACCCACAGTAATACGTCAGCAGCCCCCAATCAACTTCCCCACCACCACCACCACGCTCCCACCACCTCCCACCCACCAGCAGCCCCGCGCATCAGCGCCTCCCGCTCCCTCCCCGCACCTCCCGATCAGCTGTTTCATGGCATGCAGGAGGCTCCGGGAGGGAGGGGGAGGAGCGAGGGCACGGCAGGCTCAGGAGAGGGGGCAGGAAGGGGTGGAGTGGGGGCAGGGCCTGTGGCAGAGCCAGGGAGTGAGCAGTGAGCAACCCCCTGGCACATTGGAAAGTTGGCACCTGTAGCTCCAGCCCCAGAGTCAGTGCCTATACAAGGAGCCGCATATTAACTTCTGAAGAGCAGAGCCACAGATTGGCCACCCCGCATTATAATAATTACTCTCTGAGTAGTAGGAAAGGGATTAAGGGAGGGATAGAAAGCAGCAATAAACTTCCTGGCTTTCCCCATACAATTAAGTCACTGCAAGTCTTAACTGAGAACCTTGCAACTCAAAGTCAGACACCATATAGTATGAACAAACAATTTGTATCTAACTACTGAAAAAAAGCTAATGCGGTCTTGGGATGCATCAGGCAAGGTATTTCCAGTAGAGATAAGGAAGTGTTAGTACCGTTATACAAGGCACTGGTGAGACCTCATCTGGAATAGTGTGTGCAGTTGGTCTCCCATGTTTAAGAAGGATGAATTCAAACTGGAACAGGTTCAGAGAAGGGCTACTAGGATGATCCAAGGAATGGAAAATCTGTCATATGAAAGGAGACTCAAAGAGCTTGGCTTGTTTAGCCTAACCAAAAGAAGGCTGAGGGGGGATATGATTGCTCTCTATAAATATATCAGAGGAATAAATACCATGGAGGGAGAGGAATTATTTAAGCTCACTACCAATGTGGACACAAGAACAAATGGAAACTGGCCACCAGGAAGTTTAGACTTGAAATTAGAAGAAGGTTTCTAACCATCAAAGGAGTGAAGTTCTGGAACAGATTTCCAAGGGGAGCAGTGGGGGCAAAAGACATATCTGGCTTAAAGACTAAGCTTGATAAGTTTATGGAGAGGATGGTATGATGGAATAGCCTAATTTTGGCAATTAATTGGTCTTTGACTATTAGCGGTAAATATGTCCAATGGTCTGTGATGGGATGTTAGATGGGGTGACATCTGAGTTACTACAAATAATTTTTTCCTGGGTGTCTGGCTGGTGAGTCTCGCCCACATGCTCAGGGTTTAGCTGATCGCCATATTTGGGGTCGGGAAGGAATTTTCCTCCAGGGCAGATTGGCAGAGGCCCTGGGACTTTTTCGCCTTCCTCTGCAGCGTGTGGCACGGGTCACTTGCTGGAGGATTCTCTGCACCTTGAAGTCTTTAAACCACAATTTGAGGACTTCAATAGCTCAGACATAGGTTAGGGGTTGATACAGGAGTGAGTGGGTGAGATTCTGTGGCCTGCGTTATGCAGGAGGTCAGACTAGATGATCAAAATGGTCCCTTCTGACCTTAAAGTCTATGACTCTATACTAGGGCACATTGTACCTAATTACTAACTGCACTTTAGATTATTAACACTCAAACAGTTTGAGAAAAAGCTTTTCACTGTATGTCATACATTCATGTGGTTCTCCATTTGAAAAATGAATAAGACTGTAAACTCTCTGGGACAAGGTCTGTCTTTTACTCTGTACAGTACAATGGGGCTTCATACCTACTGGAGACATTAGCAGAGATATACCTACACCTATCTCATAGAACTGGAAGGGATCTTGAAGGTCATCAAGTCCAGTCCCCTGCCTTTACTAGCAGGACCAAGTACTGTCCCTGATGGTTTTTGTTTGTTTGTTTTTTCCCCGATCCCTAAATGGCCCCCTCAAGGATTGAACTCACAACCCTGGGTTTAGCAAGCCAATGCTCAAACCACTGAGCTATGCCTCTGGGCATTCCCATGACACAATCAGCTTCACTTCCCAGCACAGTGGGTTATGAACACTGTAGGAAAATGTTTCTTTGGACAGAGCAGTTTCTTTTGGAATTGAAGAAAGAATCCACATAGACTTTGCAAATACTTAATTATATCTATCTAAAGTACTTATGTGACCCCCATCACCACCGTATCTGAGCACCTCACAATCTCCAGTGTATTTATCCTTGAAGCATTCCCATGAGCCTGGACAGTGCTATTTACTCCATCTTTACAGAGGGGGAAACTGAGGCACGGAGCATAAGTGATTAGCCCAAGGTCACATAGGAAGTCTGGGAAATTGAACCCAGAACTCTCAAGTCCTCGGCTAGTGCCCTCACTACTGTCCTGCTCTGCTATACCAAGCTAAACGATGGGCCAAGCCCGAGTCGCCCACATCGCTTTTCGCTAACCCAATGTCTCAGCAATAGCTGGGGGACCAGACTCCCGGGCAGAGGAGGAATAAGTTACTTCTCTGTCCTGGCAGGAAGAGGACTGGCTGCCCCGTCTGGGTGGGGTGGGGGAATAGGGCTATTCCATGGGGCTCCGTAGCCCACGAGAGCCCCTGGCAGGCGAGGGGGGCACGAAGGGGAATGGGATGCTGAGCGCGCCCTGGGAGACAGCGGGGGGTAGGGAAAGCCCAGCGGAGGCGGAAGAGGCAGAGCCCCCGGGCCGAGTGGGGCTGCGGGGGGCTCCACGGTGGAGCGGAGACGGGGGCACTCCCGGGCCGAGGGGGGCGGTGTCTCTCCCAGTCCTGCCCCGCCGGGAAGGTCGCTCCCGGCCCGCGCTCACCGATGAGGATGGCGCTGTCCAGGCTCCGGAGCTGGCTGAGCAGCGGCCCCCGCGCCTGGAAGATGGGGAGGCTCCTGCGCTGCGTCTCCCCGGCGCTGGGAGCCAGCGGCTGGCGCTTGGCTGCGGGCGGCGCCAGCAGCATGGCTCTGCGGGGAGCGGGCGCCAGCTTCAGTCTCTTGGCCGGGGGCAGCTCGCCGTCCTGAGGCATCGCCCCCGGGCGGGCCGCGGCCGGGCCGGGATCAGCTCCCGCCCCTCGCCCACGTGTTCCCGCGGCCGGCCGCGCACGGGGATTTCCGCCCGGCTCCGCGACACCCCGCCTGGGACTACAACTCCCAGCCTGCCCCGCTCCCGCGGCCTGCGTCCCACTAGCCCAGAGCGGGGCAGGCTGGGAGCTGTAGTCCCCACAGCCGCACGTGGAGCTGGTCTGCGGCCCAGCTTAGCATGCTACAGGGTGGGCCGGGCCTGCGGACCTTACCCTGGCCACACTGGGTAGGGGCCGTCCATAAATTACATAAGGTATTAGGGGGTGGATCCTTAATTATGGTGGTTGTGTCACTGTTACGGGGGTGTCTTGAAAAAAATCCCCCCAAAATGTTATGTAATTTATGGACAACCCCTTACTCTACCCCCTTTTCCCCCCAGGCTGCCAGCTACTTGTTAATAAAAGTGTGAGAACATGTGTATAAAGTGCACAGACACAAGTAAAGAGTCACCTGTGTGCAGCCCACCTTTGCTATCTCAACTTTATAGTGATAAAACCCTATGTGTCGGGATGGTTTTAAGGCTTCTAACATATCCCATAGTAAGGCATCCACTTACCCGGCCTATTGCCATAGGCATATTCACATGGTTTTCTGCATCTTGTCTTCAATCACCTGAGGAGTGCCAGAAGGAAAAGTGCATGGAGACAGAGCACTGAAGAGTGTGTGCTCAAGCCTTCAACCATACAAAGGATGATGGAAAAGGGGACAACAGAGAGGGGCACTGGGGAAGTCAGAGCCTTCCAGCACAAAAGAAAGGGGGTGGAGTAGGTCGAAAGAGGACAAAGATCTAAGTTTAGGAGTTAAAATGAAGAGGATCTGAAATCTTGGATTAGAAAAGAAAGAACAGAAGAGGGATATATAGATGAAAGAAATGTGCCAAGCAGTTCCAAATGGCTCCCAGGCCTAGAATTTCTGCTGGTGTCCCTCCACCGAGGGCATTTGACAGTCCATGGTCACCACATTCAAAAATACACTGAAAAGTGGATTAAACACACAAACATTTACCACAGAAACAGGCTTAAAACATCCCTTTTAAATACTGTTTCTGCCCTTTTTTGCTAAAGACATCCACTACCCCACTGTTATGTTGAGAGATACTGGTGACAATCACAAACCTCTGAGAATGGGTATGAATGTACCCTGCGATTAACGTTAACTCTCAGGATGAGTTAATAAAAAAAAACCCAGCAAAACCTAGCCCCACCCCCCACCCCCCTCAGACAAAGGAAAGGCTGTGAACCCACACAAGAGGTTTTCGGGGTTTTTTGGCTGAGTATTGTTTGGCTATTGTTTGGGGTAGAACAGAACAGAGAGGCACAGGCAAAAAGTAAGGAAGCCAAGCAGTAGCTTGTGAGCACAGTGTGACCATGGAAAAAGCTAGAGAGAGCTTTTGGGTCTGGTGCTGGCTAAAGAGGCTCCAAGCTGTAAGCTAAGAAACTGCTCCTTTTTGTTTCTGGTTCCTCCTGCATTTGGAGAAGCAGGGCTTTGTACCTTTCCTTATAAATAAACAAGACTGCAAAGAAAATAGCAGACTCCATCAATTTCTGCTTCCAACTGGAACATCGCCAGGGCCCTGAAATTTGACTTGCCGCTTTTCAACCTGAGTGGCTACAGTACCATTCTTTGGGAACATTTCTACCAGAAGTCCTCATGGGAGACTGGGCCTAGGTCTAACACTTCTTTTCTCTGTTCTGATGGAAGGTCCAACTGAAATGTGGAAATTATCTATCTCCTTTCTCCAGAGAGGGAAGAAGGCAAAAGATAGTGTATTTAACAGTGAGGACAGAGTCACCTAGCCTAATGGAAATAAGGTCACCCTGTTAAATATCTCAATACTAGCAGTATCATCTTCTGCAGTTCACTTCCCCTTGGAATTAACTAATTACACCTCTACCTCAATATAACGCTGTCCTCAGGAGCCAAAAAATCTTACCGCGTTATAGGTGAAACCGCGTTATATTGAACTTGCTTTGATCCGCTGGAGTGCGCAGCCCCGCCCTCCCCAGAGCACTGCTTTACCGCATTATATCCAAATTCGTGTTATATCGGATCACATTCTATTGAGGTAGAGGTGTACTTTCTTAAAGATTAGTGTCCCGGGGCATGGAGGAATGGGCAGTTTATTTTTATTTTTAAAAGTGTACAAGCAGCAGCTTAAGCACAAGAATTCGGGAGTCCTGCTTCTGAATTTTAGGCCCAAATATGACACAACATATGGGTAAATTACTTGTCCCCTCTCCATTATTTCACCAGTATTGGGCAGTCACCATAGAATCATAGGACTGGAAGGGAATTCGAGAGATCTTCTAATCCAGTCCCCTGCACGCAAGGCAGGACTAAGTATTATTTAGACAATACCTGACAGGTGTTCGTCTAACCTGCTCTTAAAAATCTCCAGTGACAGAGATTCCACAGGCAATTTATTCCAGTGCTTAACTACCCTAGTAGGTAGGAAGCTTTTCCTAATGTCCATCCTAAACCCCCCTTCCTGCAATTTCAGCCCATTGCTTCTTGGCCTAGCCTGAGAGGTTAATGAGAACAATTTTTCTCTCTCTTCCTTGCAAAAAACTTTTATGTACTTGTTATCATGTCCCCCCAAAGTCTTCTCTCCTCCAGACTAAACAAACGCAGTTTTTTCACTCTTCCCTCATAGGACATGTTTTCTAGCCCTTGAATCATTTGTGTTGCTCTTCTGTGGACTCTCTCCAATTTGTCTACATCTTTCCTGAAGTGTGGCACCCAGAACTGGACACAATACTCCAGTTGAGGCCTAATCAGTGTGGCGTAGAACAGAAAAATTACTTCTTGTGTCTTGCTTCGTTGCTTCCTACCATGCTTCCCAGCACACTGCAGCAAATAAGCTTATCTAGCTGCACGGAAAGAATACAAAATTCACTCGCTGCTTTAGAAAAATACTCCAACTTCAGTTTGGGACAATGTTGACTTTGGAATCTGAAGGTGGGAGAGTCTCAACCAAAGCTACCGTTTTAGAATCACAAATGAAACACCTGAAAATAACTATGGCTGGTTCCTTATCAGTAGCCACCACACCATCTTCTACACCATTTGGGTAACGAATATTTACTTCAATAAAGTGTGAGTGCCTGAGGTTTCAAAGAGATGAAGCTTAAGAGAGTTTGAGAAACAGCTTTCCAAACTAAAGTATAATACAAAGGCTCTGATGTGGAACAATCACTGCCACGTATTGGGAATCTAATTTGGCTAAGCAAGTGTTTTCTTCAGTGGTTCTTGCTACTGTTAAATATTTTATACATGCAATTTATGAAGTACAATACTTTTCTTCATTTAAACTTTGACAAGCGGTTCAGAGGATGAGCAGCTTTGTTTTTAGACTATGACCAAAATTCTTCACACATTTGTTAAGCACTTAGCTGGCCTATAAAATGTCTTATGAACATGCAGTCTGTCCCATCACCTAGCCACCTACCCTCCTTGAATGATCTCCAAGGAAAGAAGAATGCCGTAGAAAGTGCCGTTAGCAATTTGACACACAGCACTCTCACCAATAGGATGGTGTTTGGGGAAGCAGTGTTCACTTATAGTCATTAAAGACCGTTTGGCATTTTTCCACAAGAATAAGGTTATTATATATTTGGATAACTGCATTCCACCTCCACAATATTTTACTGCCACTTAAAGTGGCTGTATGTCCTGTCAAACTGTTGTTTACAATTTCTCAACACTATTATTAGTGGCTATAACTTATGGAAGTGGTAGAGGTAGTTCAGCTTTCAGTGAAATTTAAAAGAACAACAGTCGTTTAAAGCCATATAAGTACCTAAGACAGACACAAAAAAGGTGGCTTCTTCCTATTTTAAGTTCAACAGATGATTTGTCTCTCTCTAAAGTATATGCCTGAGTTATTATAGGACTATAATGGGGAATACTGACCATTTGAGGTCAGAGGGGGAAATCTGGGAAGCCAGGCTACCCTGTTCCAGGAGTCCCAGAGCAGTCAAAGGCCTAGGGAACAGCAGAGGCAGATGCTGGAAGAAACAGATAGTCCCAGAATAATAGTGTCTGGAAGAAACCAGGACCAGGAGCCTTGTAGTGTAGAGTGGGATGGGGCATAGCTTCCTTACCCCCCAATCCCCCGGCCATCCAGAACAAATTCTGGGAAGGAGAGCAGCATATAATCTATGTCTTCCCTCACATGGGTGTAAAAAAGCTTAAAGAAATGTAAAGGAAATGCCAGAAAAGAGCGCAACAAGTAAACAGAGCTAGGAAACAACAGGCCATGAAAAGCCATTTTATACTATAACAAGCCAGCAGCTGTCTCTCTAGCCGCATAACTCAGGCAAGCAGTCTCCTCCTATACTTCCTATTTCTTTATGATAGGCACCTCTCAATATCCCAAGCAGATTTACTTCAACATCTTCTTTAATGGAGCAGTAGGCCCGTCAGCCACTAACCTGGCCTGCAGCTTGCTGGTACTTAGCCTGACAAGCCTGCCTCCCCTTTATGTTAAGCGAAGGCAGGGGTCTGGGTGACAGGAGATAGAACTCACTGCCCTGAAACAACGTCAGCTGCATAAAATTCTATGGTCTGGAGATTAAGGAACTGGTGTTGCTCCCCAGCGACATAAGTGGCTTCAATTGCAAACAGTACAAGTTTCTGAAAGTATTAAAATATGGGAAGATGCAAGGCATAAAGACTAGACAGCATCTGCAGACAACTACATCATGAGGTATTTCAGGATAGCCTATACGTCATTCCCTCATCTTATTTTTTGAGGATGCCTCTAGCACCACACTTCTATTAATATGCTCTTTAAAACTTGACTTTGAGTACAAATTAACAATAAATATACTGCAAAAAGTAGCAAGTAGTTTCAGTAGACGAGCCTGGGTCTTGATCCTTATGAATATATGCATATGCTTCTTGTTACAGCAGTGAGAAACAGACCTCCCTTTTACAGACCGATTTTGGTCCTAGCTACAGAATTGTCCTTTAGCACCAACCCCTGCCTGCTAACAGTCCACCTGCAGATTAACAAGAGTCTCTATAAAAAAAATTGAAACATGAATCTAATCAAATTGCCCCCCCCCCCCAAAGTTAGACCCCAATACATTCTTACCTCTCAAAAGGATAAAAGTAGGATTTAAAACACAGGCCAAGCCATTTTCTAGACCAAGAGATTTTTGTAAGTCTCAAACTCTTATTTTTAGTGATACGCTGCCATCTGTACTAGCTTCCTGTTATATTGAGATGAAGTTTTACTGGCAGTTACTGGCAGACGGAAGACTACGGAAAACCACTCAGTTGAGACATTTGAGGTGTACAACTCACCATCAGCCCCCACCAAAACATCAGAGTACACACCTCCCACTCAATTTTTGAAATTCATGATTACGATGGATGGATACCTTCAGTGATCAGAAGTGGGATACAAAACCTCTCAAACAAGTCACTAGTTCAAATCCAATCCAGGTTAGCTGGTCCATTCTGTGATAGCTGTTCAGTGGCTTATGTGAAATGAGTTGATGTCACTCCAGTTCTTGTTGGCTAGATGTCCATATCACTTGCAGCCCTCTCGTTAGCAGTCTCTGCAGAGTTCAGGGACTGAATTTAGCACACAACATTAACAACCCTCTTCTCTACAGGGTGTGGCTGAGGCATGTTGGTGAGGAAATTTAGGATTTTTGCCATGTCTCCAGGGCTGTCACTGGAACCTTTTATTAACACCAAAATACCACATCAGGGAGCTTTCATGTTTGCAGCAAGCATCTGTTAAACTTTCTCTAGCCTCGTCTTCTTTTCTACCATTTCCCTCAAATCAACAGATTATGCAAGAAGGTAACAAGCAGTCACAAGACATTTTATTTTATTCACTCCCTATCTCAGAGCTATGAGTATCCCAGTCTAAGAGCTACTAGTCTAAATTATATGGGAAAATCTTTCACAGCATTCTGAATAATTTGCTGACCACTTTGGGAAAAAAAGAGCTAGATTTTTCAGAACTATACATGCATATTTGCATTTTCTACTGCATGTATAAGCATGTCAGTGAGATTCATACCTGGCCATTTGCATATATGTAGTTCAAAATAATCTGGATCAAGATGTATTCTCAGCCTGCAAGCTAGGTTCATAATAGGGCTCGTACTGGAACTATAGCAGTCTACTTTCATAGAATTAGCAAGGTAAAATTTGCACCATCCAAAATTAAAATCCTGTCTGACTCAAAAGAAAACAGGCTTGGAAATTTATTGTATTTTGCTTCATACCAGCCTTAGACAACAAGAAGAGGGAATCACTTTAAAAGATCTCACACGTCTCCTTTTTATCCAATGAGAAAAAAGTTAAAGCCAAAGTTTTATTTTGTCCCTCAAAGTTTCCCATACACAGTTTCCTGTATCAAATAACTTGGAAAAAAGTGCCTTAGAAACATTTTTAAAAGAGTACGCATGGTCTTGTTAACTGAAGTTAACAGGAAATGGTTTCCAGTTGGGTTGGGGTTTTTTTTGGCTCCACTAGATTATGCTTTCAGTACCAATACAACAAAACCCCTGGTGTAGAAAGACACTGGTAGTCTCCTGGAAATGTCTTGGATTAGTTAGACTGCCATATCATAAAGTGCTTCTTGTATTCAGAACCATAAAGCTGTAAAGTGTCCTTCCTGCAACAAGGAGAAAGAGAATTCCCAATATGGTACTTCAGTTTAGTTCCTTCCAGTTATGTCTGGGTATTGGCACAGCCATTTATTAGCCTCCGAGGCGCTGACCTTCACCCCATGCAAATCCTCCTGGTCGCTCTTCGGGCAGCGGATTGTAATTGGGATCATCTTCTGGTGTATCAAACATTGCTTTCCTGAAAAGCAGAAGTTATATGTAAATACACAGTTCAACTTGAGGCAAGCAGTCAATGTAACATTCTCACTACAAGATACAGTATGCAATAGTGTCAGTCATTTAAATCCAAGTCACTTTTGTCCTCTAGTTGAGATCCAGTCAGCTCATATAGGGCAGATCCTATGATGCAAGCCCTTCAAAATTAAAAGTTTAAATAAGAAGATCATATAAGACTCAAGTTCAAATATACATTACTCCTGACAACAGGGTCAGTGAAACTGAATCGGTAGCCTTGTCTACAGCAGCTACAGAAGCCACATTAGCACATCCCTAGAAAAATATATCTAAACATACTTAAAAGAACAGCATTAACAGTTTTCTTAGCCAGTGGAGACATCCCCCAACTTAAACCAATTTACAGGAACATGCTACAGACTAGGTGGGACCAAGATATTGGGTGGAGTATTTTAAAGACCACCAATGAGGCTGGAATAATTAGTCAAGTCCTTGATTTACCTCAAAAACCTTCAGTATCCTTTCACTAGCAGCCTCTATAAATATAGTTTTGTAACCTAGTTAACAGCACAGTTCAGCCACGGCAATTCTAGTCACTAAGCCATATTATCACCTTTTGGCAAGAATCCTATAAAGAGAAAATGTAAAATTTTCTGACTAATGAGTCTAAGGCTTGGTCTACATTACAGAGTTAGGTCGTCGCAAGGCAGTTTATGTCAACCTAATTATGTCAGTGTACACGCTACAGCCTTGCTCCCACCTATGTAAGTACCTGACTACACTGACATAACTCCACCTCCAGGAGAAGTGAAGGGCTTATGTCGGTGCAGTTAGGGTGATGCAGTGTCCCGGTAGACACTGCATTACTATCATCGGCTGTTGGCTGTCGTTCTTGTCAATTTCTCGGCCCCCGCTGGCTGCCCTGAGGCTCCTGGCTCCCCCGCCGGGACATAGAACTCCCTGCTGGGAGCCTGGGGGGTTGAGGGGGGCACCCAGGCTCCTGGCGGTGGGGAGCCAAGAGCCCAAAGGTTGGGGAGGGGGAGCTGGGCTCCCGGCGGGGAGCTGCCTGTGGAGCTGAGAACCCGGGCTCTGAGGCCTCCATACTGCCCCTCTTATGTCAGTGGAAGTGCTTCTCATGAGGACACACATCACAACAGAAGGAGGGTAGTGTGGACATGAACCACCAGAATAATTACCGCAGTGGTTGTAAGCTGACCTAACATAGGTCAACTTACGTTTCTAGTGTAGACAAGCCCTAGGATTCAGGTCACCAGGCAGAAAGATTTTAAAGCAATCCTAACATGCCTTCTTTTTGATTGGTGCCTGGAATCAACTTGAAGCTCTAAGGTTACTTGCTGGTTTCCATGCTGGACAGGATGAAGAGTAAGTATTAAGCTAAGCAAACAAAAAACTAAGAAGGTTTGAGTAGGTCCTATTTGTCAAATGAAAAGATGGAGGATGAATAATTGTGAGGGAGGGAGTGGTAGGCATGTTGATTGGAGGAAAGAGCCTGACTGTCAAATCTGATTTCCATACATGATTCACTATTACAACATGCTTTTGCCCTAACAACTGGAAGACAGGAACTCCTAGCTCACTCTGTGCCATGTGTTAAATCAGTTGTCAAGGGAACAGGATTATGTATAGTGGCTCTTTATACTCCTG